AGGCGATCGAGAGAATTGAGTGTGGCAGACGAGATTCGGGGGGAGAGAGGTGAGAATGACAATGTGTTTGCTACGAATTAGGATTAAATGAAATTGTAGCTATAACATTTATTTTGAATTAATAGTTTGCTATAATGCATAATTTTCCCTATTATTTATTATAGAATAATTATTTATTCAGTTTTAATATATCATATATTCATTTAGGGTGTCTATTTACTTATATAGTAGATGATTTAGTGACTAGGATTTTAGCTTATACCCAGAACATTAAATCATCAAATTTTATAAGTATTAAGTTTTTTATTCACAATCTAAGATGAAAATTTGACATGTCATCGGTACGATTGTAGCACAAGATTGTATGCAATTTATCTTGATTATGTGAATGATGTAATTATCAACTTTTTGTGAAATGATTGAAAAATTCTTAAAACTTTATACATGTGAAATTGTGCCAATACATGAATTGATAATTATGATTAATAAATAAAAGTTATTGACGTAATCTATTTATTCGAGACATCAAGATATACTTAATGTATCATGTATAAGTTGTCCTACATAAGTGTATACTAATTAAAATTATTTACTAAATGAGATTGTGTTAGTGAATACCGTATTTAGAAAGATTTTATCGTTCTCTGTCGTTTTATAATGTCACACATTCTTAAGTTGAATGATAAATTTACAAGAAAAGTAGGATAGGGGGTAAAGTTTCATGAAAATATAGAGTAGAAGATGAAGAATAATTACTAGTATTAAATAAGTAATAAATAAAAATAAAATGAGAAGAGAATATTAAAGTAACAATGCAATGAATTTAAACAATACCATATAATAGAAAATAAGTAACAATCGAAATAAAATATATGGAGATTTCTTACCGCTGCAGTCATATATGGTCGAGATAGTTATTCATATTTCAGTTATGAATTAGAGTTAGTTAGACGTTTATTTTATTAAGTGCCAGCTGTAGCAATAGTTAGTTATTCTAGGAACTTTCTCCCTTGCTTATATAAGTAGATAGCTTGTATTGTTTCATTGTTTTGATTCTCTCAGTTTATAAAATACAAAAGCAGTTCTTCTTCTTTCCTTTTGTGTTAGTCATCAATGGCATCGTTCACCATTAGAGAGGATCAATCCAAGCTCAGTGAGTTGGGTTTAACAGTATACAACAGACATTTTTCTTTCTCTCGTCAAATAACTATTTCTCTCATGTCACCATTTTTCTGTACTAGTGCACAATCAATAATCATGCCTGGAAGAAGCTTCACAATACCGAGAAATCAAGCAAGAATCAATATACCCAGAAATCAAGCAAGAAACAAAGAACCCAGAAGAAAAAATCAACAGAAACCCATCTCAGAAACTTGCCCCAAAAACTCCACCATTTCTTCTACCCATGAAAGCCCAACAACACCCATCGCTAAAAAGAAGAAGAATTTCACACCATTTAGGGCAACTTCACAAGTCTCTGTCCCTGCACCAATTGCTGATTGGCAATCCAAGAAAAAGAAGCAGAAGCTGAGAATCAAGACCCTTAAATTTGTTGATGGAGATTCAACTTTTTCCACCCACAATAGTTGTTGCAGAAAAGGAAGAAAAACAAGACACTCATGTATGGCTGCTTCTTTTGATGATTTTGTTGTTTCAAGAAAACCCCTTTCTGCTAAAGGGAGAGTTGATATTGGCAAGATTACGCCCATGGAGGTAATGTTCTTTTTACTATGATTCTTTTAATATCTTTTTGAAATTTTTGGATTGTGACTAGTACAGTAATAGTTTTTTATGCCGTTAGAAATGATTAAATTATCTATTCTCTAATTGATATCTAAACTTGATTTGATATTCGATATCGAACCTCTTCAAATAAATAGGATCAGAGGGACTATATATAGTAAATTGTTATGTATCATTCATCGAATGAAACAGGTTCAAATGGAGCAAGAATGTAAGATTGAATTCATATATAGGGACTATTTATGACTTGTGGCTTTGGAGTATATTGTATCTTGGGAGTATCTGCAGTTGAATGCATAGATGTTGTGAATGTATATGTGTTAGTAAAGTGAAGTGAAATTATGTTTTCTCATGTGCTTGAATATCTAGCCTATCTGGTGGTCTTGTGAGTGTGTATTTATAGTTTATGATTTGCATCTTATTTAGTAAGAAATGTTGTTTGCCATTTGTGTACAGTTTTGCCCATATTATTACTGGAAAACAACCGAACCAAAGCTGTTCGGTAAAGAGGCTTAGATTTCTCTTTTTGAGATTTTGCATATTCAGTTTGGTGTTGAGAGATTTTTCGGATAATTATTGGGTCTTCGGTAAGCTTCCATAGCAAACTCGAAACTGCTAATTTGTGGTGGCCCTCATTATTTTGTGAGTAATGTTTTCAATTGTGTTGATACGAATGCCTTCTACTCCTTCACACTTATATACAACACAGGCAATAATCTAACAAAGTAAATCTAGGTTAAATTCTTGTTGGTTTGGTAGCTTCAATACCAAGATATGTTCCTGTTAAATTTTACCCTGCCATCGTAGTGTTCTTTTCGGAGAATAACGTGAGTAGACTTGATAGAGAAGCTGTAGAAACTTACCCTGCCATCGTAAGTTGACGTACCCTAGCTTGAGAGTTCAGAGTGACAACTTAATTGCAATGAAAGTCACTGACCAGACTAATGCTGCTAAAGCAATAGTGGATTTTGACAAAGCCTTAAGCATGTTTGTTATTGACAGCATGCAGCTTGTCCTGATTGATACCGAATCCTATGGTTATTGCATCATGTAGTTTGTGAATTTTATCAGTTACTCACCTTATATAAACCTTTCAATTTAGTAATATTAGAGGAGTTTTCAGTCACTATTCAATTTAGTTTAACGGGAGGAAGAACAGATTGTCCTGATCGATACCGAAGCTTGAGGCTTAATGTGGATAATGAGGCAAGACATTTCCTTGGATCTCTCCGATCCGTCTTTGTGACTCTATCTTTTTGCTAACGATAAGTACCCTTTGCTAACAGGAATTGGTGGAACCGGGGATGGAATTGGATATGTGAGTACAGGACTGAAAGAAGACGAGATAACTCAATGTGTTAGGAGAACTAAGCCCTTCTCTTTTATCTCATTTAGGCACAGAAATGGAAAAAAAGTGTAGCATTTGTCAGGTTTGTGATATATTTGTGTTCGTTAGTCTCAAAACATTGTTTTATAGAAAAGTTGATTGCTCTAACAATTAAAACTATCTTTTCTGGTTTTCCAAAATACAGGAAGAAATGGGCAAGCTGGGTTGTGGACACTTGTATGATATCGACTGCATAACACAGTGGCTGATGCACAAAAATAGTTGTCCCGTCTGTAAATCTGCCGCCATGTCTTCCTCATGAACCTGTTGATTTTGTATTTCTTTTGTATATAGCCTTTGTGCATCCTGAAACTGATGGTTCTTTTGTTTCTGTCCAATATGAAACAATCTTCTTACGCGTAACTCCTACCAGATAATGAATTTTTACGCGTGATGTTGATTTGTGGCTGCTTTTCTATTTTCATCTTCAGTTTTGTCTGCATTTAGCTTCAGTGTAGAAATATGTCATGTTTGTCTTGAATATCATCTTATTTTAAACAAAAATTATCACTAGCTCATTTAAATGTTTAAGATTGTTTATTGACCATAGCTACACAAATGTTTGTGCTCTTTGGCAGATGAGCTTTTTTTAAATTTGTCAGTTCGGTTTTGAAGTTTATTGGTCCGACTTATCAGTTATCGATTTGTAGACATGTTAAAACGTTAGAAACCATTAAGATATTGACTTATCGGTTATCAGTTTATCGGTGAAGATTTGACACAAAAAATAAATGATTGAGAATCACTTAGAAACATGGTGACAAACCAAATAAACCATGCACATGAGTTGATAGATTGTATCTTGCTCAAATGCAACATACTAACACATTGTAGGATAGTCGAAAGTTTGTGATTGCTAGAAATAAAAATATGAAACCAAATTCTAAGTCAAGGACTTTATATATCAATAGTAAAAATTTCAAACTGTTAAAAACCGATAACCCAATAATAAAAAAAAGTCAAAACCGTTAAACCTATAACTAATTATGAATGAACCAATCACTTTTTTTCGATTCGAATAATCGGTTGTAATTTTATTTTGAATAGCCCTGAGTCTCAGTAAACAAGTATGAATATACATTATAAGCAACCGAACATCTCTTATGGTAAGTGAAAACTTTTCTTCATCTAATATATAGAATAAAAAGATGTACAGTAAAATGTTCAAGATAAATGTTTTCACACTGTAAAATTCTCTTTTCATGTCTCTCACATATAGTCCCATTCGCGGGCACAGTTGAAATACTATTATTTTGTAGAGATATTATTTAATTAATAAATTAATTTAATTTAAAGAGTGTTTTAAAATTTAATAATGAAGATTAATTTTGATTACATTAAAATCATTGTATCATATTTATTGAATTCCTATAAAAATAATAAATTCATTATATATAAGTACAATGAATGTGTATAATTCATTGTAATATATTTTTTTGTTCAAGCATTCATTGTAAAATAATTTCAAGAATTCAATCATTCATTGTAAAAAAATAATTCATTATACATAAAGTCATTATTTTTTAATAATCAAATATTATTCATTATATCTCTACCAAAAACATTCAATGGTGAGAGAATAAACTATATAAGAAACATAGGAAATTTTATAAAACCATATCCAAAAATGACTTCTCATTTAAACGGTGTCAGAATTAGAAAAGTAATAATAAAAACCAAATCCATTTACAACTCAAAGCTCTATAATTGGGCATAAAAGAAAGTGCCATTTATTTACTATTGCAAAATGGATGTAGTTTTCATGGGTTGTTCTTTTATTTTCTCTGTTTTGTTGATTATTCTCTTTAGAAGAATGCTTTGTATACGTAGTAGAAGACAACAAAACAATAGTTGCAGTACTTTGGTATCAATGGAGGATAGGCTTAGCCAATTGCCAGATGAAGTAATTGTATCAATTCTGTCTCAAATGACAATTAGAGAAGCAGTCCTAACAAGTTCCCTTGCAATTCAATGGCACTATCTCTGGATGCATGTCACACGTCTCAAATTCGATGTTTCACAGTTTATTACATGGAAGATGTTTTATTATCCAAGGCTATGCCGAAAGGAAGGGATGAAGCATATCAATTTGATTAACAATGTTTTGGATTTCCACAAGGGTGGTCACTTAGAAGAATTCACTCTCTCGTTTCCTTTTCATAAGCATTTTAAGCGTGTAATCGATAAATGTCTCAACTTTGTAGTAGCTGATAGAATGTGTGCGTCCACTGTCAGTCAATGGACCTGGTCCCTTGACACACACAGCAAGAACAATAATGAAGAGTAAACAATAACAAGAACACAACACATGCAGTTTACGTGGAAACCTCCTTGCTCAAGGGAGTAAAACCACGACCTATCTCACAGGATTTTCAACTGTTTCCACTAATCTCTTCAAGCAAAAGTGAAACCCAGTTACAGCCAACGTGAGAAGAAGTTATTAATCTCACAACTAAGTAATAACTCTATTACTTAATGAGCCTAAGCAGATACTACACTGCCCACTAAGCTATCACCACTAGACAACTTAGGATTTGACTAAGCAACACGCAGGTTGCCCACTAAGCCACCACGCTCCGGATGACTTAGAATTTGACTAAGCAACAAACAATGTTGCCCACTAAATCAGTAAAACTCAATTGATTTAGACTTTTACAACAAACACAAGATCTGAATCCTTTATAGATTAGGAACAGATTTACAATGAAAGTACAGAAGATATAATCCTAAGACAACTTCAGCTCTATCAAGTCTTTGTTGCTCTTGAGGATGATTCTTCACCTTTTGTTAGCCTTTGCAAGAGTTGTTGAGAATTTTCAAGTTGCAAAAACTTATAAAATAATAGCCACAAAACTCAAACTCAACAAAGATGCTTCAGCACTTTATCAGATCCTTTTGTTGAGTATGAGTATTGTTCTATCTTGAAGATGGCTTTTTTCTTTTTAAGCTTGTGTGTTTTTGTTTGCCAAAATCTTGAGTTTGTGTTTTGTGTTGAGAAATTATATTAAAATGAACACAAACTCATTGAAACAATCCTATTGGCTGAGAGCCTGCTGGTGTGAAAAATTGTGCACCTACCAGCAGCTTTTTCTGACGGACTGTCTTGTCACCTTTTCATATTGCAGTCTTGCAGGGACCAGGTCCCTTGCAAACTTCTTTGTGAACTATTGAAAAGGCTTGCTGGCTTTCTCTCTTCTTGAATGGATAATGTTGTTTGTTTACTGTTGTATATATTAGTTACCAACACGGGTTTTAACCACTTTAAAAAACAACTCCATCCGCCCTTTCTACTGGTGAAGTACACTGCACATCTCACCAACCAACCTGACAAGACAACTGTAAAGATAGCTTTACAGCTATGCACCACTTTGAGTTTGGACGGAGGTACTCTTCCAAGGACCAGGTCCCTGAATTTGTGAGGATCATCAAAACACCTAGAATATAACAGTATAAAAAAAAAAGGTTGAAATCCTTCAACTAGACTTGTCACTCAGTAAAAACGAGCATAGGCGTATACCTTTCCGTTTAAGCTCATCTCAAGTTTTAGATAAAAGTTATTGCCATTTGTTAGTCTCAAAGTTCTGGCTTTCAACAACGTTGATGTTGACAATCGGGTGGTCAACTTTTTCATCTTCAATTGTCTCCTCCTTGAGAAACTATCTATTCATGCTTCAACTTGAAAGATTTGGAACTATGTCATTGCATTGGTTTGGATTTCATCAAGATCCATAACGTCAAGCATGTCTCTTTTAAATACATAGGATGGAAATCAAATTTGCTTCTCGAGAATATTACTTCAGTTCTTACTATTGATTTCAAGATGAGTAGAGGATTGATCTGTGAACTTGTTCATACGTTTACAACCTATTTCACTCTACTGACGACACTTTCACTTGAATTTGTTCATACCTCAATGGTAAGCAATTATATATTAATGTATTCCATAGAGCTAGAATATATAATTAATAAATAAAGCTTGATTTTACGAACAACTTTCATATATAGCGAACACAAATTATATTTGTATGTTATAGTTATAGTTTGTATAATTGCGCTCCATAGCAAACATAAATATGTATATTTTCCTATACATATACAAAAGAAAGCAGTTGTATATAATCTGTTTCTGTTTCGGTATACATATACAAAAGATCAATTGTATAATATGTGTTTGTATAAAGCAAGAAAGAGAGAAAGGCAAAAGAGAACTGGGCAGGAGAATATTTGTATTGTATAATTATAAGTGTATGGGACGAAGATATATGTATTTGCATGTGTATATACAATTTTCTCTCGCTTTATACTAACAGAAACGCAATTTATACATTTATGTTTGTATAAGCGAGAGAGGTGAGGGAGAAACTGGCAAGCGAGATCTGGGAGAGGGGAACGAAAATATATGTATATATACAATTTTCTCTCGCTTTATACAAACTCAAACACATTTTATACATTTGTGTTTGTATAAAAGCGAGAGAGGCGAGGGAGAGAACGAGAGTCGCAAGCGAGATTCACCAGGAAAGAGGCAAAATAGCAACAGTTTGCTATGGGGTACAATTAAATCAAACTATGTTTATAACATTTAATTTGAATTAATAGTTTGCTATTATATACAATTTTCCTATTTTTAATTTGTTTGATTGTTTCAGAATCATTGTTTTCTTGATCATACTTTGCCAAAGTTCAATAATCTCAAAGTGCTTGTGTTGAAAGTCGTAGGCGTGACGGATGAATCCCTACTTGGTATTACTCCACCAATAGAAGCATCTCCATATTTGCAAAAACTGCATATTGAGGTACATATGAGTTTATTCTTTAACTCTATTCTTAGGTTATTTTTCATAAATACATTTTCAATTTTAATATATATGACATAATTTGATTAGTTATAGTATTAAAATAACAACTTCTGAAGTTTAATTATATATAGGTCGGATGGCTGGCTTAAACATATCATTACATTTGTTTAACTATAAGAATTTGTCATTAAAGGTATATATAATTGTAAATTCAAGTTAAATTATTTTAAAATTTTAATTAGTATTTTTCTTTTTCTAAACAGGAAATAAGGACATAGTATCATATAAAGTGAAATAGGAGTAAATAAATTTTATTTAATGTACATAAACTTATTCAACAAATACACATGTTTGTTTCTGCCCTATCACCTGTTTATCAAAAGTTGCCTTTGAAGGTTTAAGATTTCCATAAAAATCAACCAGAAGTTTGAGAAATGATATAAAAAATTAAAAAATTAAAAAAAAATATTAATCCTATTATTTTATTGTAGAAAAGAATGATATCCAATTTATGGAAGTACAAAACATTTTCCTCCAAAAAAAAAGAGTTAACTGAATATGGAAAAAATTTTCTTCCATAAATTATTTATTATATTAAAATAACATGGATTTGAATAAACTAAATCCAAACTAATAATTACTAAATATTAAGAATTTAGTACTAATAAGTTTCCTACTTTATTCTCACGTTAAATCTGTTTTTTCTTGTTATTTTAACCAATGCCAATTTTGTATGCCGATTGTATAGACTTAATCTTCAACCAAAAAAATAAAATTGTCATTCCTTTTTTTTTTTTTTATCATAGTCACATGTATATCTATGGAATAAGAAATTCTTTTCACTATTGGTATATGTAAATTAAATTCAATTGCAATTATGTTAGAAAAATTGTTTTCCTTGGCTTTATACGAGTTATATTTTACTTGCCTTTTTTCCATTTCAGCTTGCATGGCATGAAACGATATTCTCCAAAAATAGAATTATAACAAAAAAGTGTCCCCATCAACATCTCAAAGAAGTTAAATATAGTGGTTACCTTGGTGGTTTTGCTGACAGGGTACTTACAACTTACCTTACTAAAAATAGTGTGGCGCTTGAAACATTCATTATCGTTCCTTTAGAATATGATGCTCAAGAAGCAAGAGGTCGGGCTCGACGACAACTACAAGGAAAAAATCCCAAACAAGTCAAGCTAGGGATCCTTTAGGGGTTGTTGGGTTGTTGATTAGAGTTATGAAGAAAATAATGTATTATTTTATTTAGAGGTTAATTATTTATGTATTAGTTACTTCACATTTTACCATGCATAAAATAATACATACTTTTTCTCGTAGCTTATACATGTATTAGCTATGTGAGTTTCTAAATTATAAACCAAATGCTGATGATGATCAATATGTAGGCTATCACTTACCAAAATGGAGTTATAATCTAAATCATCTTTTGCTTATTCAGATGATATTATTATCTTTACATAACCTAATGCATATTCTTTAAAGAAAATAGTATCAATTCTACAGGATTATGAGACCCAATCTGGTCAGAAAGTGATATAAAAAGTTTTAAAAAATAAAAATCAATTGGAGAATAATCTCCCCCTAAAGGCCTAAATAAGACTTCGTTTGAGGACTAAATTTGTTGATCCTACTATTTTATTATCGAAAAGAATGATTCTCAATTTATAGAAGTACAAATCATTTTCCTCCAAAAAAGAGTTATCTAAATATGGAAGATGTTTTCTTCCATAAATTATTTATTATATTAAAATAACATGAGTTTGAATAAACTAAATTCAAACTAATAATTACTAAATATTAAGAATTTAGTACTAATAAGTTTCCTACTTATTCTCATCTGTTTTTCCTTGTTACTTTAACCAATCCCAATTTTGTATGCCAATTGTATTGACCATTAACCTTCAACCAAAATACAAAAAACAAAATCCAGAAATAGAAGGAAAAGAAAATAGAACTAAAACAATACTAAAAAAAATTAATAGGAGTATAAAACATTCGAGAAAGAGCTATATCAAAATAGGGATCGGGTCTAATGTGATTAGGTGTGATTAAATAAGACCGAAGGCTGCTGGGAAGAGTCGGCCCCATGATCTTGGGCATATTTATAGGCCCAATTACTACAAATTATCCATCTTTTAATGTAAGTTTAAGGATTGCGATGATGATTGCATACCAATATACATGATTAGCTATTTTGCGCGGTTCCTAATAGAAGAGTTGAAATCATGAAAGAAAAGGAATCTAGGACGAAAAGTGACACCCAGAACAAGAGTTGGCGCCAGATCCATAGGCTAATACACATGAAAAATCGGGGAATTTGGGAGATTCTTAAAAATGGGCTTGGAAATACAGAAGTGGCGTTAGAAAAATAGTGTGATTATACGTGAAATCTCCCCAACTCATTATGAAGGTCTTCATAAAGATTTTTGAGAAAATATTTTGCGTGCTCTTTGCGCCAGATCAATGGGCT